CTGGCAAATACTTATTCCATACCATATTCCCAATGTTAAAACTGTACCTGGCACCTTGAAGACACCCCAATATTTGCTAAGTTAAAATATAAAAGAATGAATGCATGAGTTAATTTGATTACCAAAAGGAGGTGAGTTTGATTTCCAGTCAGTATTAGGTTAAGAACCTGAACCAGGCTGAGGATGTAGCTTAGCATTCAAGTTTTTGCCCAGGATGTGCAAGGACCTGGGTTCCATCCCTAACACTGCAAAGAGGGAAAACAAAACAAAATCCTAGACACTCATCAGTACTGAAAAGATATATCTTTATTCATAGTAGCTAGTCTAATTTTCCAATCTCCCTCAACAAAAAGTAGATGGCCAAAAGCCAGAGATAATCTATGCTAAGAGATTTTGAGCACTTTGACAAATGAAGCTTTAGGAAGAGAGGTTTGTAGCTTGAATGTCTTCATATCTATGTTTATTATTTTACTGAAAACTAATGCAGCTTAAAATTGGGGGGGAGGGGGAGACAACTAATCCATTATTCATCGCTCTGAGAATGACACAATGTTTAACAGACCCTTGTCTGGAACATTGTAGATACCATTTTAGTGATTCAGATTTTGTTTGGTTGGTTTGGTACCAAGGATTGAACCTGGGGGAGCCTAACTACTGAGCCACATCTCCAGTCCTTTTCATTTTTTGAGTCAGGACCTAAATTTCTGAGGCTGTCTTTGAACTTGCAATCCTTCTGCCTCAGCCTCTAAACTGCTGGGATTACAGGCATGCACCACCATGCCTGGCTTTTTTTTTTTAAGATGGGGCTCTCACTTTTGTTGCACAACTGACCTTAAATTTCTGAGCTCAAGTGATCCTTCAGCCTCAGATTCCCAAGTCTGTGGGTCTATACAGGCCTGTACTACCATGTCCAGATATTTTGATGATCAAGTTTGCTGATTTGGGAGGGAGGTGGGGGACTGCAGATCAGGCTACCAAGCTCCTAAAAGGTAAAGTGACTTGTCCCAAGTCATCCAGAATGACATTTTATCAAAAGCATAAATATGTATAAATAAGCACCTGGCTGCAAACCTTAAATAGGAGGAATAATATTACATGCATATAAATGAGAAATGAGCCTAGACTTTTGAAAGGGAAATGTACAAAATTCCACATATATGGGTAAAACAGTAATGTCAGTGAAAACTTAGATACAAATAATCTATATTAGCCTCACACCCTTGGGGGTGAAAATTATAATTTATACTCTTAAAAACTCTGGTTCCTGGACCAGAAATGAATTACAGATAGGATAAATGCCCAAATTCTCTATGAATGGTTGGCTTACTGGATCCCTAGGACCAAATAGGCTTCTCAAGCCTCTAATCCCCCTCCAGCCATATACCCTTAGCCACCTATAAAGTTCCTAACCTTGCACAGTAACCTTTCTTCTTATCCAACACAGAGTAGTACTGCCAGAGAATAAAGGTAGCCAAAACTGGTGTAGTCCATTGGCCTAAGTCAATCCCAGGCATAACTCATAAAAATTCACTGCCTTCACTGTAACTCAGGTGCCACACTCACAACTTCATCCAAAGTCTTTGCTCAGAGCTGTGTGCTATAGCCATCTCAATCTATGATGGCTAGCATTTAATGAGAACTTGTCACATGTTCTTATTTGACCCTCTCTCAACATTAGCATACCACAAAGATTACAAGCAAAGTCCTGGATGGTTCAAATGGTGGTTCAATTCCTCGATCAAGCACTTTGTTAGCCATGTGACTTTTCTTCAGTGCTGGGGATAGAACCCATATATGAGCTGAAGAAAAATTATTTAATCTATAGCCTCAACTTCCCCTCTTATAAAGTAGGTTTAGAAATATCTAGCTTGGGCCCATTGGTGTTCAACTATAATCCCAGCAACTCAAGAGGCTGAGATAGGGGGACAAAATTCAAGGCCAGCCTCAGCAATTAAGCAAGACCCTGTCTCAAAAAATAAAAAGCACTGGAGATATAGCTCAGTTGGTAAAGCATGCTTGGATTCAATCCCCAGTATCAAAACAAAACAAAAACCTATAAAAATATCTAATGTATTTTGGTTGTTATGAAGATTTTATTAACACAAAAAAAGCACTTTGTGTGTGTGTGTGTTTGTTTGTTTTGTGTTTGCTGAACTGAATACAGGGCTTTGAGCATGCTAGGCAAGCACTCTGAACAACTGAGCTACATTCCCAGCCCTGAAAAGCACTTTCAACAATGTTTAGTACTATAGTGAAATGTTGGATGACAAAAATGAGGCAGAGTTCCTGACATCCAAAATCACATGGTAAAAAGGTAGCACCAGGATTCAAACTCAGGAAACCTGAGACAAAAGTCTTATTCTCTCAGTAGTTTTCAAATCAAGTCCCACCTCCAGAAAGTATTCTCCAACGACTGGGGATACCACATCCTCTCCTTCCTAACCTAATCACTTGTCTATCATTACTTATTAACTATAACTGTTTCATCGAGGTAGGTCATTGAAACTTCCACACTGTAACTTTCTCTAGGTCAGACCAAGAGCTCAGCTACCTGAGCACTGCATTTCAAGCATTATAGACAGATATTTCAAATGATTTACAGCTAAACCTGAAATCCTATTTTATAACCTTTTTAAAGGTATAAATTTTCCATATGCTGTCCTCCTCTATTACCTAAATTCCTATTATTACACAGCATACTTGTCCATAAATCCAGTAATGAATATATTTTCATTATGATTTCACTCAACCATGGGAGTCCACAGACTTGACTTGGCTGGACAAAATGCCTGAAAAACCAATAGACTATGCAAGGACTTTGCCAGAGCTTAACTAGGGGTTATGACTAGTAGGCAGCCTACCTGTAGAGACTGGCCCCTCAGTGATAGTCCCATTCCTCCGTTACAAAAGATGGGGCCCCAGGCCCACCGTAAACAGAATTTAAAACAAGGTCCAAACTCAAGAGAGAAAGCTGGCAAGGCTAGAAGTCTCTATGTGGCCTTGTTCCAAGAATAAATCAACTAAAACTTCTCCAATGACTGCAAAGTTGTAGAGGTGACAGGTGTAAAGTTGAATGATCAGAAGATAGACTGAGAGCACATTTCCTAAAACATACATCAAATGTCCCTTCTCTCATTCACTAAATCCAACTTTTCCCAAGTTATAGGACCTTGGAAATCAAATTAAAAAATCAAAGTATGAGTGCAATATGGGATTAACACAAATGGCACAATTTAAATTAAAAAAGGGGAGTTTTAAAACATCTGCAAGAGAAAAGAAAATGACAAAATGATTTAGCTTTGTAGCTCCTTCTGGCTTGAAAGCCTGAGGGCTGAGGCAGCAAGGGTATCAGGACCTAAAAATGACAGACAGTTAAGAGTGATCAAATAGGCCAGGTCACTCTGAAGAGTTGGGGCTGCAATAAAGAACGTCAACACTGGCCCTGAAAGCACATTAAGCTTTTTGCAGGAATCATGGGATTGGGACAGTGGCAGAACTCTCACTGAAGAGAAAGGAAGATGACAGAAAGCCACATTGAAAAAGAAATATTGCAAATAACAGAGGCCACAATCACAGCCCTATAATTGACCCTCAATTTTCCAGGGTAATTAATCAAAGGTCAGCTTGTTAGCATGGCCCTCAGATCATTCCACCATCACACAGAAAAGTAATAAGAAACTTATGAAACTTCTCTTCCCATTCTTCCCCAGTCCTGCAAAGAAATAAAAAGGAGCAGCAAAGCACCCAAAGGCAAAGCAATGAGCAGAAAGAGAAGCAAAGAAAAGAGCTATGGCCCCCGTACCCCCTTGAATGACCCCATTTAGCATCCACAAATACAAGCTCATGGTTTTAAAACCACATTATTTTTGCACATTTGGCAGAGGGAAGAGGAGATCGAGGGCAAACTACTCTTGTCATAGGCATGTTCATATGACGCTAAGGAGGCAGACAACCCATCTGGACTCTTCTTGACACACATACCTCCCCAGTGAACTTTGCCCTAGCAGCCTCCCAAGTCAAAAATCTCTTAAAGCACCCTTTCCACAGGAGCATTAGTAGGTTTTCCTGATATAAACCCATCCAGCCAGTCTTATTTCATTCACCCATCATTACCAAGCCTCCATCTTGTTCTCTTGAAATTGTCATATTTTTTGCCCAGGTCCTCAACTCCCAGCTCTGGAGTAAGAGTATAGGCAGAATCCTCAATTTCTCACCCAATTCCAGCATCCCCATATTTCATTTTACTAGCACCTCACCCACTTCCCAGTCTGTTATGGCACCTCCAAATATAAACCCAGCAAGAAGACATCTGAAAACCATTAACAGATGGGCACAGGGAAAGAAGTCTCAGGTGCTGTGATGGGTTGGCAGGATGCAGGACGACACTCCATGGTGAAATTCAACAGGCGAAGTACCAGGACACTCTGGCCAGAATGCCTCACAACTGCTTCAAATTTTCCCTGCCCCCTCCTTTCTCCAACCACAGGGCAGCATCAGATAGGGACATTACTCCCACCCGACTATGGCTCCCTTCCAGGTCCCAGCCCCGGTGCTCATTAGGGCCAACTGTCTGAAGGATATACCCCACCTTGTAAACACCATAGCAGCCCATTCCCCACTTAATATTTGAGAAAAGCCAACCCCTACAACCACCCTGCTGGAGCTCAGGTTGTTTCTGGAGAAAAGGAAGGGCAAATAGCCAACCATAGGCAGAGGAAAATGGGTATTATATTACTGCATTTTGGTGTGACCAAATTGAGGGCTAAGAAGTCCAACCACTTGGTCTGGACGCTCCTGCCCTAAAGATGGCTGAAAGCTAGTAGGACGCCGATGAGCTAAATCCCACTGGGGCAGCAGAGAAATCATTCTAATTCCCACATTCAAACCCCGTTCCAAACCCACCCTGGTTTCTGAGGCTATCTGCCCTTTAGTTGTCATGACTTCCTGGATGTCAACTGGCTCCTCTGACACTGAGTGCAATCAAGACAATGACAACCAGGTTTCCAAACTGCAAATCGCCCCAAGTTTTATTTGTAGTCCATACAAAAGGGGGGGAAATCAAGGTTTTCTAACACCACCTACTTGGGGAGATGGGGAATTGGGACTGTGCTGCTCACCATCACTAGAACATCAGTGGTGAGCAGGGATTTGGACACACACCAACTGACTGTCCCAATAGGATCTCAGTCTCAACAGTCTACAGAGGAACAATCAGGGCCCCCTGGACTGCTGGCACAGCTTGGCGCACAGGAAATGGTTAAGCTAACCCTTTCCTGGCCTCCCTCACATCTAAAAGAAAAAGGCGCCGCCGACCTCAGCTGCAGGTTGCTTCCCCATCCACACGACCTTAAATATCGCGCACAAAAATAAAAGGGAGCCAGGAAAAAATAAAAACAAAAGTAATTCCCATTCTGGAGAGATGGGAGGCAGGGTAGAGGGGAAACCGCAGATCTAGAGCCAGTAACAAGATGTGATGCTGAGGCGAAGGAACAAAGTAGGTTACTGCCAAACACTCAAAAGGATGGTCTCCTGGGGAAGGCCCACATGGTAGAGGGAGGGGATGAAAAACCACAATGGGAGAGGTATGGGCCAGAGTGGTTATAACCTGGGTCTGCACCCTACCTACCTCTCCCTCCCTCCCCGTGGTGCCCCATCCCCAGGATGGCCCTACATGCGGCGCTGGTAGCCAGAGTGCATCTGAGCTGCCCGCAGGTAATCATTATAGGAGCCCGAATAGCGTGCGTAATCGGAATGGGCATCGGGCAGGCGACGGTAATCCAGCGAGGACTTTGTCGGCGAGCGGCGGAACGAAAGCTGCGACTCTGATAAACGGCGGTAATCAGAGAGCTCGGCTAAACGCCGGTCGGAACCATACCTAGTCGAGAGAAGAAGACAGTTGGTGAATGAGACAATTGAGGGGAGGGCTCCAGATGGGCATGGGGGAGATGCCAATGGGGACAGGGAGGGTGTGATCAGATTGGTCTCCAACAGTTTGGTTTCCTTTTGTCAGAAGGTTCTTCACCCTATCCAGGCCAAGAAATCAAGCCTGGGTTCAACTCATTAGGAAACCAAGCCTTCCACTGAAGCCCTCCTTTCCGAAGTGGCCAAGGTGAATTTTGGTCTATAGTCCCAAACCACAAACAAAATATCCCCACCCATGGGTCCTACACAAAGACCTTGGTTGTTTATCAACAGAACGGCGGATGAAAGCAAGGTCCCCAACTTCCCAGAGTGTGGACGCATCTCATAAACTTGCCTTCAGCCATTAAGTGCCAAAAGGACTACTTTCACGCCCACCCCCACCAACACCAGGACAACCAGGTAACAGGCTTAAGAATCCCTGAGACATAGGGAAAGGGTATGAGCCACAATCCTGCAGGCAGTGGCTCCTATGGCACCTGGGCTAGTCTAGAATGGTGACATTTTCCCAGCCTGACTGGTACCACCCCAGGCTGAGCTCTGTGCTCCACCTGAACCCTGGTGACCAGAAAAGTTCACAGACACCGACCCCCTCGGCCTCTGCACACCCCACAGGAGTAAAGGAGAAAAGACTGAGGAAGGGGCCTAAAATTCCCCTCCCATGCCAACCTCAGCCCCTTGCCCTAAGCCCCAGCTGGGGGCAGAGGCGGGGGGGCATACAGTACCTTTTCGACATGGCGACAGCCTTTTTGTAGGGATCGTCGTAGCTGGCCCGGGGTGGGGAGAGGCGGGTACGCTCATAGGGCGGCGGGGTGCTGTTGGCGTTGGCAACGGCCCCCTGGGACATGGACAGGTAGGCTGCAGACGGCTGACCTGCCCCATCGTAGGCATTGCCCGGCTGGCCACGGTAGGAGGCAGCAGCCTGGGGATGCTGCTGGGCAGCATAGGAAGCAGCCAATGAGGCTGATGACTGAGTGCGGTAAGGAGCTGCCAGGGTGGCAGAAGGCTGGGCCCCGTAGGCAGCTGCGGCACCATAGGAGCCAGTGGCCGCAGCAGCCGACTGAGCCCCATAGGAGCCTGACAGGCCCATCGATGCTTGGGCCCCATAACTATTCAGTTGGGTCTGGACAACTGGCTGGGCCCCATAAGAGCCAGCCATTGGGGTAGTGGCTTGTGCAGCATAGGCGGCTGGCTGGCTGGCATAGGCAGCAGCTGTGGCTGGCTGTGCCACATAAGCAGCAGGCTGGGAAGAGTAGGAAGCAGCCTGCTGTGCAGCATATGGGGCAGACTGGGCATTGTAAGAAGCCGAGGGCTGGGCATTGTAAGAAGCTGCCTGGGCTCCATAAGCTAGCGAGGAGGCTGCAGACTGGGCCCCATAGGAGGCAGCCTGAGCCCCGTAGGAGCCTAGAGAGGAAGCTGCTCCCTGGGTGTTGTAGGAGGAAGCAGCTGCACGAACCCCATAGGAAGAGGCAGCCTGGGCGCCATAAGAGGATGGCTGGTTACCATAGGAGGCAAGGGAGGAGCCCTGAGCCCCGTAGGAGTTGAGCGAAGAAGCTGCCGCTGCCTGACCCCCATAGGAGGAGAGGGCTGAGGCTGAGGGTTGGGCTCCACCATATGGGCCGAGAGAAGAAGCTGCGGCAGACTGGGAGCTAGGGCTAGCCAGCTGGCCCCTGTATGGGGCCCCAAGGGAGACAGAGGGCTGAGCGCGGTAAGAGGCTGCCTGGGCCGTCATGGGCTGAGTCCGATAGCCGACACCCAAAGAGGCAGAAGGCTGGGCCCTGTAGGCAGCTCCCAGCGACACTGAGGGCTGGGCCCGGTAGGTGGCTGGCTGGGCCGTCAGAGGAGCCACATAAGAGGCTCTGGGAGGTGAACGGCGCAGGGGGCTTCGGTCGCGACCAAAGAAGGGTGGCGTGGGCTGACGGGCTTGCCCATCAAAGCCACCAGTGCTGTTGCCAAAAGCCTGTTGGTAGTCGAAGGTGGCAGAGAAGCCACCAGTTCCAGGGAATGCCGTATCCCCAGCCCCTGGTTTCTTGGTCTTGTCCCCAGACTGGATAGCCAGGCCAGGCCCCTTCTTCTGACCCTTGGTTGAGAGTTCCACGTTGATGCGCTTGCCCTTCACTTCTTTGCCGTTGAGCTGCGCGATGGCGGCTTTGGCATCTGCTTCCTTCTCCATGTGAACAAACGCGTAGTCTGATAAAGCAGCAGACAGAGGGTTAGCAATTAGGGGGGCAGGACATGCTACCCGATGGGTCCCAAATTGGATACAACAGCACCCAGCTGTTGCCAGTTACCTCCAGGCCACCAAACCCTCCTCTCCAGGAGTATGTCATAAAATATTGGCTCCCACATAACAAAGCTTCTGACTGTCCCAAAGAGTCACCTTTGACTAGGGCTTTTTCCCATTCTCCCCTTTCCCCCTGCCACTTCACCCAACTCCCTGGTGAGAAAAGAAAGAGTAAAGATGAACTGCAACACAGGATAAAAATCTTCACAGCTACTGTAAGAATAAACCAGCAGACAAAACAAAGAAAGGGTTTCTGGATCACTCAATTATTCAGTGTTCTCATCCCATGCTCACCAAACACCACCGCTCACCTTTGACACTTAGCTCTCAAGCACTAGAAACAACTACTCACATCTTGGCACAAGCCATTTCTCAGCCTAGATTAATTAAGGTGAAAGAGACTCAATTCAGGCAAGAGACTACAAAGAGCAAGCAGTTCACAAAATTCCTCCAATATAATCTCCCCTCTTTTCATATTACTTTCCAATTTTCAAAGTACTTTCATGCACACAACCTCACTTGGGCCTTACAACAATCCTGTAAGGTGGCACGACAAAGGATCATCATCTCCACTTTACTGCTGGGCAAACATGTTCAAGAATTTTTATGCGGCTTACCCTTGCCCAAATCAAAGTATATTAATGCCAGGACCAGTTTTAGCTCTTCTATGCCCCATGCCCCATAACTGTGTAGTATGAAAAAAAAATGTAAGCTTAGAAAGAGAGATGCTAGACCCTATGTACATCTACAAGGTAAGGGAATGGAAACTAAGACCCCCTCCCCCTCAGGCATATTACATCCTCCACCACTTCCTCTTTAAAGGACAGAGAGGTATACCTTATCCTTTGGAGTTCTGTTCATAGGACAGACTGCACACAGGAAAGACCTGGTTTCTCAGCTATGAGGCAAGAAGCTGTAATCACTGCAAGCTAGAAGGTCACCCCTGAGGCTTTCATTCAAGACCTGAATGAATTGTGTGAGGAAGAGGAACTAAGACAGGCTATAAATCTCAAAACTGAACTATTCATCTACTACAGAAGAAAACTTTAGAAAGGAAAAAAAATTCTCGGGGTTGTGTCCATACTAGAAATTGTAGAAATTGCAATGGTGCAAACAGGACCTGAAGAACAATGAGAGGAGCTTGTCCCTGAGCTCTGCAGTTAAAGGCCCTATGGTTATTTTAAGAAAAAAAATCCAAATGCTGGGATCCAATCTCTGTCACATTAGTTTAAAAAATAAAAAGATACCTCGAAGAAGTTACCAACATCCTATTTTCCAATAAAAGATATCCTTTTTATGACCTTCAAACAAGTGTCCTTATTTTTAGAAATTTTCATTTTTAAAAATAATGGAGATACCCTCGCTTGCATACCCACAGATCTATTTCTCCTAAAGAATATTCTCTTTCATCTCTAATAAAACACAATGTCATCTGTACACACAAACTTGGAACTTTCTAAAGATGATAAAAGAACAAAATGAACTATCTCAACTCTCAAGTCTTCAACACTCCCACAGACAGAGCCTGATTCCTTATTTACCAATTATGAAAAGCTAAGCATTCCATTTCACTTGGCCACACAGTACTAGAATTATCCTCTGTTCTTCATTTTGGGTAGCTAGCTAAAAACAGTAGCAGGTGGTCTAACGTCTCTAAAAACAGAGACTGTGCTGACCCTCAGGAATGGCAAAACCACCTAGAGAATGCAATGACAAGCAGAAAGGCTCACTCAAGGTAAAGAGAAAATAGGAAGATCTGCTAGAGCCTGTAGGCAGACTGGGGGAGGGGGGATGAAAGGGGACAATCTCCAGGCACTGTGAGGGATTAAGGAAACACACTACATTCCTGATTATTTGGTCTACAAATTCCCCCCAAACATCCATTGTCTACTCCCTACATAGCTGGGTTTTATTAAGAGATCAAGGAATAAAATTTAAAAACTGAGATTTCAGGTCTGGAGATGTAGCTCAGTAAGCAGAGCTCATGTTTAATATGTGTGAGGCCCTAGGTTCAATTCCCTGCACTGCAAAAAGAAAAGGCGGGGTTGGTTTGATTTCACATGTTCAGTTCAACTGACAGCCCAGATGAACTATGTAACTGATGATGGGGGAAGATACAATTATAGCCAAATTATATCTAAGTTTCTAAGCCTGATATCTGAAAGGAATTATAACTAGGTTTCCAAATGACTGAATCACATCAGGGTTAACTGTGTCCCATCACACTGAGTAGCCAAATTCAGGCCTAACCCCATCAAAGATGCCCAGAATCCCAATTCCTTCCCAGCCATCAGAGTAGCAGAGATCCGAAGAACTCCAGGGACTCTTTTGCCTGGATAGTTAGCTCAAAGTAATCTCTCCATTAAGACTAGCATTAAACCTAACAAGTAGTTCTGCAGATACCTCCTAATGGTCTGATGACATCACAATCCCTCTAGTACCAAAGTTAAGAGAATCCAGAAAAACAACTTTTCCTATCCTAAGATGATTTTTAAAAAAAACTTTGAAACTATAGAGCTCGGTATATAAAGGATGACTACCCACACAAGAGAAGGGATAATTTTCCTCTTCTGACTCAGACCTCCCCTGAAGTCTGCAATGGCCAAAGTCTGCAAGTGGTTCTTGAAGCTGTTCATCTTTGAACACCCAACAGGACACAGCTGCAGAGAGTGGTTACCACTGTTGCTATGGAGATTTTTGGTCTACAAATCATATCTAAGCTCCTAGAGTAACCAAGCAACCATGTTTTTCTCCTGTGAAATAAAACAGAGCTAGCTGTCCTGTGCTTTTCAAAGACTTGACAGGGCTGAGGGTGTGGCTCAATGGTAGAGTCGCTAGCACAGCATGTAAGGCCCTGAGTTTTAACCCCAGAACTGCAAACCAGAAGACCTGACAGCAAATCAAATGCTCATTCAGTCAAGAAATGAGTAAGCTATTTATTGAGCCAGTCTCTTCTACAACATTCCCAACTTTAAATCCTAAGTTTTTTCACCCCTAAGAACTATAAAGACATCAGTGAAGGATATCAGTGCATCAGGTGCTATTGCATATAAGCCTAACAAACAACAATGGAAGACACCTCCCTGAGGAAGTCAAAGCATTTCTGCTAACAAATGTTTACAAAGGAACAAAATGCACAAAATTTTCCCTCTAACTCTCACAGGGAATCAGCCAGAAATTCTAAAACTCATGTAAAGTTATCATGCACTTTACCACCACCACCACCCTTCCCCGGGTCACTTAGTGTTGATCCCAAATTCAAGAACATTTTTGGCTTTCTCTATCACTTGAGAACAAGCTTCTTGATCATGAGTTCCATAGAGATTGCCCCCAAGTACTGATTCTAGACTCTCAATCTACCAGTCACCCTGCCTAACAACTACAAAAGAAACCTAACAGATTAATTAAACACAAAACTCACATACCCCTTGCTGGCCAAGTACCCAATCTGACACCCTCCCACTCTTTCATTCTCAACAAAATAAAAAATCCATGCACCATACATCCTGCCTCAGAGCACCCAGCAGGAAAGCCCGATTCCGGATAGTCTCGTGGACTTGCATAACCTGAGTTGAGGAAAATAGAATGGAGTATTAATGCAGAATAAGAACTTGTTCCTAGCAAGGGACACAATGACCTTTTACATTTCCCCAACTTGTGGAAAGGACAAGGAATGGCCAAAGATGTGCCTTTACCGGACAACAAATGAAATATCTTTGGTGACCATGAACAAGCAACTGCACCCATTTATTTCTCATCCTCAAAACGTCTCACACAGGGTAAGAGCAGGCATGAATCCAACACCAGGAGGGCATCACATACTCCCAGGTGCATCCTTGAAAATAACAGGGCAAAGTTAACTCAGATCTGTTCCCAAGTGGAACAAAGACAGGCCACATATACACAAGGGCTGACCCATCAAATCTTCCCCAAAAGAGAAAGAACTTAGGGGATAAGAACCCAGAATATTAAAAAAAAAGAAAAGAAAAGAAAAAGAAAAAAAGAAAAAGTCGACTGGGCTCCAAAAAGGAAATCAAGCCTAAATTATGGTGACACATTTTTCTCAAAGAAAAGGCAAACTAGGGATCTGCTCTGAGAATTAATTCAAGCAATGACAACTCTCAAGTAAATCGTTTTCAGCCAATGTTTAAGGAAGACCTCTCACACATCTCTCCCCATAATCCCCTCAGCCAAAGTATGCCCCCTTGCAAAAGTCTCCAAGCTTATGAAAGAATGACACTGCCCTGGGGCATCAGTTTAGCAAGTAAAGCTATACAAAAGGGGCCCTCATAAAACAAATCTCCTTCCACAAGCAAAAAGGTCAGGGTTTCCAGTTAACAGATCTAAAATCGAGCCCAAAGGGTGGGGAAAGAGGGAAAACAGGTTTAAGGGAGTTGGACCACAGAACTGCCACGTCTAACCCATCAAATACTGAAAATACCAAAGTGGCTCGGAAGGGGCCCTTCCTGTACCCATGAGGAGACCCATGCCAAACAATACTAAGAGATCCCAGCCCGAGAAACGTCCAAGGGCCCCGTTACCTTCCGCTTGGGAGCATTCATCGGGAGGGAACACGAGGGCGGCCTTGGGGCGTCAGCCCCCACCTTTTCCCTCTTCCCTTGCTCTGACCGACGTCTGGAGAGGAAGTGGGGAAGTGGCGAAATCTTCCCCGCTCCATGATCCGGCTTGTGCCCGTCACTTCCCAATTTCCGCTCGGTGCCAGGCCCAGGAGACCAGAAGACGCGCCCCCGGTACACTCGCAAGTCTCTGGCGCGTCCCCGGCCCCGTGGTTCGGCTCGCAGTGGCCGCCGCACCCTCCCAGAGCCGCTTCCTCCCTCTTGGTGAACGGTGCCTGGACCGCAGGGGAGGAGGGTGGCTCTGCCCAACGCACCCCCAACACCTCTGGCCTCGCCCCAGCGCACTTCCCCACCCGGCCCAACCGCGCAGTGACCGACCCCCGGGTAAGGGGCGTGGCTAACAGGCAGAGTGCCCCGAGCGCGCCCCCGCCCCCGAGCGTGCCTCCGTGTTACCTTTTACCACGTCACACTCGATGACGCGTCCGCGGCGCTCGAAGAGGCTGCGCAATTCCTGGCTCGTGCATGCAGCCGACACATTGCCCACGAAAATCTTCCAAGTGTTCAGCGGCCTTGGGCGCGACATCTCCACCACGAGCGCGCGCCCCGGCCGCAGCTCGTGGCCGTGCAAGGCCTCGATGGCGCGCAGCGCGCCTGCGTTCTCGCGCATGTGCACGAAGGCAAACTGTTTCATGACGGCGCAGCTCATGACCGTGCCGTAGGGCGCGAAGAGGGCTGCCAGCTCCTCCGGCGTTGTATCCGCCCCGTCGACGTTGCCCACGAATATCTTCATTTTGCCGCCGCAGCCGCCTTCCCGGAGAGCCGGGACCGCTCCTCCAGCGACAGCCGAGACGTCCGACCGACCGGCAGTCCTCCCCAGGAATGGCTGGCCACCGAGAACCCCGCCGCGCAGGCGCGCTGATCTAGCCAATCGGGACGGGCATCCCGCGCGTGCGGCAGCCAATCATAGAGACTGAAAGAAGATGCGCTCGGGCGCAGCCAATCCCAGAGGGCCTGGAGCCCGCTCGTTAGCAGAGGGGGTGGGAGAGGGACGACGACGCGCGACCAACCGCCGCTGCCTGGGGGAGGGGAAGGAGGGTTGGAGAGGAGGGAGCGCGCGCGGGCTGCGCGGGCGGCAGAGGCCTAGTTGGAGAGGCCGCCTCTGGCCTGGGTGGGGCCCCGACTCCTGGGCCCAAAGGAAAACTTTGTTCAGTCGGAAGTCAGGGCTCCTCCCATTCTGGCAGTCTTAACTAACCCCGTGCCTGGAGACGGCAGCGTGAAAGACCCGAGGAAGGCCAGGCCTGGCGGGAGAAACCGGAACCAACCCCTCTAGTCAGCAAACCGCCCCGGGACTGTGCAGGGGGTCCGGAGGCGTCTACCCCAGGAGTCCTGGTGCCATTAACTCAGTCTTTGCAGGCACATTCCCCCGGCGCCGGGGTCCGGGTAGACACTGCAGACAGCGAAAAATTAGAGCCCGTCCCTGCCGTGATGGAATTTTCAGTCGAAAAATAAGGAAATGACTCTTGGATCTTTGACGTTTTCCACAATTAAAACATTTACAAAATGGAGAATTAAAATAATCCTTGAAGAGGCAAAAATTGAGCCTCACAAAAGAAAGGAAAAGTTTTAAACCGACAGATTTAAGTATGTAAAGATCTGTACATGGCAGAAGACACACCAAAAACAAAGTCATGTGACAAATTCGCAAATATTCTTCACATGTTCATTCAACATACTGCATGGAACACCTGCCATGTAGACAGCATCAATGATATAGGAGTTAAGGTTTGGATCTGAACCCGAAGGCTTATATGTGGAAGTCTTGGTCCCCAATATAGCACTGTTAAAAGGTGAGGCTTTGGGGAAGTGACTGGATTATTATTTTTTTTAAAGAGAGAGTGAGAGAAAGAGAGAATTTTTTAATATTATTTTTTTTAGTTCTCGGGGGACACAACATCTTTGTTTGTATGTGGTGCTGAGGACCGAACCTGGGTCGCATGCATGCCAGGCAAGCGCGCTACCGCTTAAGCCACATCCCCAGCCCTAAGTGACTAGATTATGAGGGCTTCAACCACATCAATGGATTAATCCATCTGATTTGTACCTGAAGGGGCTACTAGGAGGTGGTGAAAACTGTAAGAGGTGGGACCTATTTAAAGATGTAGGTTTTTGTCTGCCATCTCCACAATTGATACTCCCCCTGCACCCTCAACCATCTCCCCATCCCCACCTTTTCTGTGGCCATGGGGATGAGCCACTCTGCTCCACCATGCTCTTTCCCCCATGATGCTTTCCCTTATTATAGACCCAAAGCAATGGAGCCAAACAACCATGGACTGAAATCTCTATAATCTTGAGCCAAAATAAATATTTCCTTAATTAAGTGGATTTTCTCAGGTATTTTGTAACAGTGATGAAAAACTAACACAGCAGTGAATAACAACAACCAAAATAACAAAATCTCAATCTTCTCGGAGCTCTATATTATGATGGGGAGAGAGAAAATAAACACAGCAGTTAGATGGTGATGAAGAATTCAAGTAATCAAGATGCCATCCTCTGAGGAAAGATCATTCCAGCTGGAAAGTATAAGTCAAAAAGTTCTGGAGCAGGAGCAAATCAGGCTGGTTCCAGAAAGAGCAAAGAGCCAGTATCCCTGGAGCCTGGAAAAGGGAATAATAGGAAGAGAAGAAAGCGGGAAGGGTAATGCCACACCTTGTGGGTCATTGAATTACTTTGGTTTTCATTGTAAGGCTGAAAGTCTATGGAGGGCATAGAACATAAGGGTTGATCTGATATGACATCTGTTTCATAGTTTTATAAGTATTCTACCTCCTCTTAAGGTGAGTAAAAAGACTATAGAGGAAACAATTGTTTCCTCAGAGTAATTATCGCCACTGCAAAAGTCCAGGAGAGAGATGATATGAACAAGGTTGAATTAAGGAAAAGTGATCAGATTAGATGTAGTTTGATGTCAGCTATCACCGCTGTGATTGGATGTGAGTTGTGAAAGGGAGGAGTTAAAGACGACATGGAGCACATGGAAGCATGGAGTTGCCATTTACTGAGATGGGCTACATTATGAGAAACACTTGCTATGAAAATCAGAAATTCAGTTTTAGAGATTGCTATGGTCTGAATGTTTGCATCCCCCAAATCCCCTAGTTGAAACCTGAGTGATGGGGTTAGCACGTAAAGCAGGTGGTACATACCTGTAATCCTAGCAGCTCAGGAGGCTGAGGCAGAAGGTTTGAAAGTTCAAAGCCAGCCTCAGCAATTTAGTGAGGCCCTAAGCTATTTAATGAGCCCCTGTCTCAAAATAAAAAATTAAAAGGGCTGAGAGTGTTGCTCAGTGGTTAGGTGCCCCTGGGTTCAATTCCTGGTACGAAGAAAAAAAAGACTGAAACTCGTGCCCTGTTGAAAGATGCCCCAGCCAGGTGTAATGGCACAGGTCTGAAATCTCAGCAACTTGGGAGCTGAGACAGGAGGATCGTAAGTTCAAACCAGCCTCAGCAACTTAGTAAGACCATGTCTCAAAATAAAAAGGACCTGGGATATAACTCAGTGGCAAAGCACCCGTGGATTCAATTCTCAGCACCAAAAATAAATAAGTAGATACCCCAGTAGCCAGTTGTGACTCAGGAAGCTGAGGCAGAAAGATTGCAAATTCAAGGTTAGTCTGGAAAAATTAGTGAGACTCTGTCTCCAAATAAAACTTAAAAGAAGGGCTGAGTTGTGCTCAGTGGTAGAGCAGTTGCTTACATGTGTGAGGCCCTGAGTTCAATCCCTGGTGCCAATAAAAAATTTTAAAAAAGGAAAAGAGCATCATGGGCAATTGAATGTGTCTGGAGTTCGGGACTGAAGGTATAAATTTGGAAATCTTAATAGTTAATATCTATACTATACAAATAACTGCAACAAATTGATGAAGAAAAAAATTAGGCAAATGATCAAGCATTTGAACTGACAGTTTTATAGAAAAGAACTGCAAATGGCCAATAAATAAATTGCAGTCACAGGGAAATTCAATTTCCTAAGAAAATGAAAATATTTTTTCACCTCTTCAGATTTGCAAAAGTATTGCCATCTATTGCTGAGAAAACCACATTCATATACGGATGATATCATGAATTCTACATCCTTCTTGAGAAATATTCAGACAGTATCGAATTTTGTGCTCAAGATTTTGTGGGTTTTTATTTATTTGTGTGTGTGTGTGTGTGTGTGTGTTTGGGTTTTCCATTTGTTTGTTTTGTTTTTTGGTACTGGGAATTGAACCCAGGAGCATTCTACCTCTGAGCTACCATCCCTAGCCCTTTTTATTTTTATTTTTTTAATGAGACAGTATATGGCTAAATTGCCCAGGCTGGCCTCCAACTTGTGATCCTTCAGCCTCCCAAATTGCCAGGATTACAGGCATGCACCACCATGCCAAGTTTGTCTTCTTTTTAAATATATAAGATTTTTTTATTGTAGTAAAAGATATATAACATAAAATATTATTTAAACTCTACTCAAGTGCACAGTTCAATGGTATTAAGTACATTCTCATTATTGTGCAACCATCACCACCATGCATCTCAGAACATTTTTATATTCCCCAGCTGAAACTCTGAACCCATTAAATACTAATCCCTAGAGCTGGAATGGTGGTGCATGCCTGTAATCCCAGCAGCTCTGAAGGCTGACACAGGAGGATCAGGAGTTCAAAGCCAGCCTGAGCAATAGAGAAGCACTAAGCAGGGGCTGGGGATGTGGCTCAAGCGGTAGCGCGCTCACCTGGCATGTGTGCGGCCCGGGTTCGATCCTCAGCACCACATACAGACAAAGATGTTGTGTCCGCCAAATACTAAAAAATAAATATTAAAATTCTCTCACTCTTTCTCACTCTCTCTCACTCTTTCTTAAAAAATAAAAAAAAAAAAAAAGAGAGAAGCACTAAGCAACTCTGTGAGACCCTATCTCTAAATAAAATACAAATAGGGCTGGGGATATGGCTCAGTGTTGAGTGCCCTTGAGTTCAATCCTAGTACAAAAACAAACAAAAAAAAAACAAAACACCTAACTCCTTTCTCCCCTGCCTGGAAACCACTATTCTGCTTTCTTTCTCTGTGAAATTTGACTACTCTAATTATTTGATATAAGTGAAATCATACAATTATTTGTTCTGTTACTAGCTAATTTCACATAGCACTTCAAGATTGATCTATGTTGGAGCAGGTATCAGAATTTCCTTCTTTTTAAGGCTGCATAATATTCCATAGCATGTATATACCACATTTTGTTTATCATCCATCAGTATACCCTTGGGTTGCTTCCACTTTCAGGCTATTAT